AAATCTGCCCACATGCAGAACCGCAACAAACCGAACCGCAACTACCCAAACTCCTTCTCTAGCCTTCCCTAACCACGAATTAAAGCACTAAAGCCATGCTAGAACAACTGATACAACAAGGGGATAAGGGGAATCAGGTGTAAGGGTAAGCCACAGTGATAAAATTGTTTGATTTGAGAGAGAGTACACATACATTGCACCTGTACATTTGAGAATATACAGCATAGTAGCAACTCCTGATCAACAACCAAGTTTTGTTTCCTTTCGTCCTTTACTCGGGACGAGCAAAGGTTCAAGCTTGGGGGGTTTTATTGACGGTCATTATCGATCAGTTTTGCCCGTCAATTGATCAAAATAAAGGAGAACTAGTTATGCTTGCAATGCATATAGTGTTAGAATAAAATAAAATCCACTAGTACTTGGTTTACTAACCCCTTGCAGAGATTAAGCGTAAAATGGAGAAGAATCGATATCAAAACCATCGATCAATCAATCGGATGATGCCGAGAATCAAACTTAAGGGGAGATGGGCTGAGAATGTCAATTTAAGAAGACCCAATAAGCCCAAAATTCACAAGTCTGCGGAGAGAAGAAGTCAGGGAGGCCGCCAGCCAAAAAGTGGGCTGGTTGGGCCAGCCTGAGGTTCGGCCAAACCCTGTCTCATCGCCGTTGGATGTAGGGCTTTGAGGGAACGGTCTAGATTAGCCCCCAAAGACGATTGGAGGGTATTTCCGATCATTCCAACCGTCACAACCATCATTGGGAGGCTATATAAACCCCTCACCCTCTCACTTTCTCCACACACCTCAAGCAAGAGCTTCTCGTACTCTCTCAAGTTTAGTTTAGTGCTCTCAAGCTAGTAGAGTAGGAATAGAATAGGAATCGGAGTCTGGAAGTATTCCGAAGAGTTCGGGTATGGCTCTAGTAGCTTTACTTTCTTCTATTGTAAAACTAGTATTTTACTTAGAATATTCTTACAACTCTGGTATTGTACTACTTTCCGATTATATGAATACTAGCTTTACATTATTTCCGAGTTATACTGATCATTGTCACGCCCGGAATTTCTATCCAAAATTCCAAACGCTTACATGTGTGTTAAACCCTCGTCCAGGAATCAGCCGAGGCACACAATAACAAATTGATAGTAGAGTACAAATAAATAACTATTTAATATTCGCAAATAATAAATTATTACAGAGGTGGATAGTTCCTCTCAAAGAATAACATTCTACTCAGCGGAAAGAAATAAACTAAAACAAACTACGGAACAGCTATGGCGACTCCACTCCACAGGCATCTCAACCCGGAACAAGCCTAATCCTCCAGATCATCACCTTCGCTGAAGTACTCCTCTTCTGATGAATGAATATTGCAAGAATGAGCATATGACATACTCAACAAGCCACATAACAAATATGCAAGTGCACAGGAAACAAAGGATGGCATAATATAGCTTATTTGCATAAACAGCATTTAATAAATATTTAAGGAATAGTAAAACAGTTGAATAATTAATCAGTATTAAATAAACACCATACAACACACCTGTGTTGCATAGGCCCAACCTCATCTGAACAACCAACCCCGGTTGTACAAATCAAACCTCCATACCAGGAATATACCATTCCAAACCAGGAGTCAATTTAGTTAACACAATTACCATTAATGAATAGTGTGAGTCTAATCACGAAAACATTGCTCAACTCACCCATAACAGCGGGTACGGCTATTCGAATAGTTTTACTCTGATAAGAGGTGTACCACTGTACCCACAAGACACAATCCCACAACATGTCACCATGCGCCTCAGTACCACCACGATACCTTGGAAAGGAACTGTGACAATACCCCTCGCACAACACAACTCACCACAGTGCACCGTTCCTGGATCATAATCTCCCCCTCAAAACCAGAGGCAATGGACTCCCCAGCGACCCCCACAGACTTCTCGCCGCTTCACAGTTTGGCACACTATAATGAATCATGCTATACAAAAGATAAAGTCGTTGCCCACGCTGGCTTGTGGTTGGCACGATAATTGTTTCACAACAGTAGCTCGCGAACCGGTCCTTAATTGTCATGAGCACAACCATCAAAACCATATGCTCACAACCCACCTTAACCAGGTTTAATTATCAATTAATTAACATCACGCGATTAACCATCGTGAGCGACCATTAAATATAACCATAATTAATAATAATAATATGATGTAATATATATTTAGTCCCCTTTAATTAGCTAATGGTTCTAAGCATGGCTAAGCAAAAATACATATGGCATTTAGCTGAACCAATCCAATATATAAGGTTCATGCTAATAAAATTATAGCCCATAGGAAAATAAAGTTATCTTCGGCCATTAATTAACTGGAAAAGGTTCACCGTCCAATGACATTCAAAAATAATGCATAAGTTGAAATAAAACCATAGCTTTAAACGGATACAACATGCTCAAAGGGTTGTTTGGGATCTGTGTGACTTGCCTTGGGCTTCCACAAAAACCTCTGAACCTTCCTCAACTGAAACGCTCTCCTCTGGAACATCGGAAACTAAAGCAAATAAACAAAAATCAACAAAACAGTACAAAAACAAGCATAAACAGTACATGTGGATATTTTTAACATGTAACCTTCTCGATTTTTAAAAAAATTTAGCAACTTGAACCACTTGAATCGGAGCTACGGTTATTTAGTTATGATTTTCCGAAGTTTTAATCTATTTAATCTATTAAAGAAAACTAAAAAAAAGGAGATGATGACGTCATTGACGGCAGCCACGGCACGGGTGGCGACCTCGCCGGAGCTAGGGTGATCGGCCGGGGTTTTGGAGGACACCTACACGTAGAGGCCGACGACGCGAACCCAACGGTGCTCACCTTTGCGCCAATCGACGACCGACGACGGCCGGCGACGAGAGGCTCGGCGCCGGCGGCTCGGACCTCGTCGGCGGCGGGGCTACGGCGCACGGCGACGACGGGGAGGTGGCGGCCGAGCTTCCCCAGCACCGTGCGCACCTAAAGGCGACGACGTCAAGCGGCGGCGACGGCGGATGCGGCGGCGCGGCGCGACCGGAGCATGGCCGGCGGCGGCGGCGGCTTGAGGGGCGTGGCGGCGGTGCTACGGAGCACGGGAGAACACGGGAGAGGGGGCAAGAGAAAGAGGACAACTAGGGGGTCCTATTTATAGCCTTGGATTGAAGAGATCGGACTCCTACCGCGTGGAATCGGCCAGAGAAAATCTAAACTCGGTTTTTGGGGATAAATTCGAAACGGACTCGATTCGGAGAGAATACTCAACGGTTTGCTCCGATTTTTGGGGGGATAGATAGAGGAGGATGAGGGGATAAAAATCCCCCTAACAATCGGACTCGAAGGAGCCGGATTGGGGCGGATTTGAGGGAGGAAGGCGGCGCGGTCGGGCGGCTTGGGCTTGGCCGGCCGGAGGTTGAAGACAACCCCGACAGGTGGGCCCCACCTGTCGGCGGCTGGAGGAGGAGGGGGCGGACGGCGTCGGCTTGGGCCGATTGGGCCGGCTCGGCCGCGCGGGAGAGAGGGAATGTTGGGCCGGATTCGGCCCAACGACTTGGAGGGTTTTTGGAACTTTTTCAATTAAAATAATTTGTGAAATGATGTTTCATTTATTAAAAATACTTCCCTTGCTCAAATAATTCCCAGAAAATTCTAGAAAATAGAGGAACAAGCAAAGTATTTAATAAAATTTTATCTAGCTCAATTTTATGTTGAAAATTTTCCTAGATTATTAGGGTTTAACTTGAAGGCTTTTAAAATAATTTCTAAAAAATGATTCAAAATATGCATTTTTAATTTAGGCGATTTTTAGGGCGTGACAATTATACTGCTAGCTTATCTGGGAGATGCATTGGTACGAGTATAATGTTTGCTTATGTGAATACTTTATGTCACGACGGTGATATTAGAGTAGTATCTGGTAATTTAGTCGTGGTGCCTAGGTTATTGGGTATCGTTATTTAGGGTTATATGCTGTGGGTGAGAGGTGGGCCGCTGATGGTGACAGCTCAGTACGGGTATTTCTCTGCGCGTGGATATAATCCTAAGTTAATTCCCTAGGGAGGGTACTCCTCCGTATTTAGCCCGGTTGTATGGTCATGACGGGCTGTCGTAAGGAACTCGGCAGTCAAGGGTGGCTTCTGGAAGTACCAAGACAGCATCGGAAAGAGGGTATTAGCTAGTTAATCTTATAACTAGGATGTATGTATAATATGTATACTAGAAGTATAGGAATAGATTATTTTCTATTTTCTTTCCACTTAGCTTAGGAGATTTAATATGAGAGTGAGTAGTCTTATGCTTTGTGTGTCATTGTACCCTATGATTATCCTTACCCCTGCTTATACATGATTAATACAAGTAACATATAAATATTAGTTTGGTTCTCTCTCCTATAATCTTCCCACGGGATAAACAAATACGATACCCTTGGAATACTCTCGGGTGAAATGCTACAATGATATATCCGTGCGCTTGCGGATAAAATCTGTAACCATAATATACCATGAATATTTTTAGCTCCATTGCTGGGAATTATATTTCTAGTAATGTCGTTACGAAATACCAACACCTCCGCAGAAAACTCTTCTGACAAAGAAGCCAGCCGTTCCAGCGCCACCAACCTTCAATACTATGGCCGAGAAGACTATCCACGAGTTCGCTGCCCCCTCAGCTGAGAACATGCCCGTTGGGCCGCAGGTCAACTTAAGAGACACGGACTTCGATCTGAAGTCGAGCCTCACTACAATGGCGCAGGCTAGCCCATTCTGTGGCAGTAGTTCCTGGAAATTTGCAGCACGTACACCATGAAGGGTGTCAGTCCAGACGCCGTCAGGATCAGGCTGTTCCCCTTCTCCCTCCTGGGGAAGGCGAAACAGTGGTTTGGTACCAATCGTGCTACAATTAACTCCTGGGACAAATGCTCTACGGCATTTTTGTCCAAGTTCTTCCCGATGGGCAAAACCAATGCCCATTGTAGGAGAATTTCTGGATTTCAGCATACGAGGGAGGAGTCAATCCCAGAAGCATGGGAACAACTCCAGGAGTATGTGGCTGCCTGTCCTCATCACGGGATGGATCAGTGGCTAATACTCCAGAGCTTCTACAACGGGCTCACTCCCACGTCCCGCGATCACCTGGACGTGGCAGCTGCAGGAGCCTTCTTCTCTAAGACGGTTAGAGGAGCCGTCGACCTCATAGAGAAGATGGTCTCTAACATGGGCTAGAGCGAGGAACGGCTCCAGTCCCGTCAGCGAGGCATGCACACCGTCAAGGAGACGGAGATGCTCACTGCGAAGCTTGACCTCCTCATGAAACGCCTGGATGAACACGATAAGAAGCCCTAAGGCACCGTCAAGGCCTTAGACTCGCACGTCACGTGTGAGGTCTACGGTAATACGGGTCATTCTGGAAATGAATGTCCAGAGACCCGTGAAGAGGCGATGTACATGGGAAACAACAACAACAACAACGGGTTCCGTCCACAAGGAGGTCAAGGGTGGAACCAACCCCGCTCATACTTCCAAGGAGGTAATAACAATGGTAACTTTTCAAACCAACCCTCCTTGAAAGATCTTGTCTTTGCGCAGGCAAAAACCACAGATGCACTTAATAAAAAGATGGCTGCCAAAGATAAGATTTTAGAAAATATAAATGTTAAGCTAGATGGCTTTGCTTCCGCATTCCAAAACCAGCTGAGTTTCAATAAGATGATTGAAACCCAGCTGGCGCAATTAGCTGTTCTAGTACCTGCTAATGAATTTAGGAGGATTCCGGGGCAACCCTAACCTTCTGTAGAAAATGTTAAGGCGATCACGATGAGGGGAGGTAAATCCACTCGCGATCCGCCATATCCTAACCCTGCAGGAGCTAACAGCCACCACAAGGAAGCGCCGTCTAGCGACACGGCTGACGAAGAGGTTCAGCCAGAGAAGACTGTGTCGCAAGAGTACTACGACACAAGGCTGTTGCCATTCCCTAAGCGATTCAAGAAGCCGTCGGTGGACGAGTAGTTCACTCGTTTCATTGATGTGATCCAAAAGATCCATATTCACGTGATGCTATTGGATACTATGCAAGTGTCCACCTATGCACGTTACCTCAAGGATATCCTCAACAACAAACGGCCACTACCAACAACCGAGGTGGTCAAGCTAACGGAGGAGTGCAGCAAAGCCATACTCCACAAGCTCCCGGAAAAGAAGAAAGACCCGAGGTGTCCCACGATCACCTGCTTGATCGGGACACAAAAATTCGACCAAGCCTTCTGCGACCTTGGAGCCAGCGTGAGCATCATGCCCAAGGAAGTCTTCGACAAGCTCAATTTCACGGTGTTGGCACCAACACCGATGCGCCTGCAGCTGGCCAACTCGTCGATCCATTACCCGGCTGGGATAGCGGAGGATGTGCCGGTTAAGATACGGGATTTCTTCATCTCAGTTGACTTTGTGGTGCTAGACATGGATTCAGACAAGGATACACCGCTCATCTTGGGGCGTCCGTTCCTTAGCACCGCGAAGGCCAACATTGACGTGGGAACGGGTAGTATCCATCTCCGTATCAACGAGAAGGAGGAAAAGTTTGAGTTCCAGCAGAGGACCGAACAATGATCCATGGTGAGAATAAAGTATGGGCCAAACCCTCAAAACATTCAAGTGGTCGAAGTGGAGCCACCCAAGACGGACAACCTAGTAAGGTTCATGCAGAACTTCTGTAACATCCTGAAAATTCCTGACAATAAAAATCACTAAAATTTCGAACTTTTTAAAACTTTTGCATCATGCTGGTTGTTATGATTGCTATGGCTTGCCAAACCGTAAATGATCACAAAGAAAGTAAAGAAAAGATCGACATTTAAGCAATAGATATAATTTACGAGAATATATTTAACCCTACAAATATTTATGCACAAGATATTAAAATCAAATAAAAGAAAAGTTATCATTAAGCTATTTCATCAAATATTAAAATATTTGAATAATGTAGGTGGGTGCCATAATATAAGTACACATGAAATAATAATTATTCGCATAAACGAAGCTCTTTATATGAAATAGAATTATGGGAGTATTTAATTCGATATGTAGATCGATATTGCACCAAGTTCCTAATTGCATTTAGGGATTGAAATTTAATATATTAAACCCCTCCATATAAAATAAACTAGCATATAAATAAATTGAGCTAATGTGCTAATGTGTTAATAACGGTCTCATTAGGAAATTATAGAATCTTTAATAAAACTTAAATTTGGACAATATTAATTTGAATATAAATTTCGATGAAATAACTTAGACGCGGTGTATTTTTACATTGTGACAAAATTAGTGGCAACAGTATATTTTTCCTAATTGCAAAGTACCCTCTAAAATCTGTTCATTAGCCCCTAGGTGTTCGATTTGGTTTCTAGCCATCCCAGCTCTCTTTCTCCCCACTGCTGCGCCGCCCTAGCCGGCCTCGAGCCCCGTCTGCGCCGGCGCCGTCGCTGTCGTGTCGCCATCACCGCGTCTCGTTGCCGTCGCCTCGCTCTGCCATCGCCGCCGCGCGCCGTTTTGTCGCCATTGCCGTCGCCCTGCCGCGCCGCTACCGCGCGCCAACTCGCGCCCCGCGCCGCCGCGTCATGTCGCGTCGCCGTCGCCGCGCCGTCTCCAACCCGCTGCGTGCTGTCGCTGTCGCCGTCGGCTGCGCCGCGCCGCTCGTGTCACCGTCGCCGTCACCCGCGCCCGCCGAGCCCTGCACCAGTCGCGTCGCCGTCGCCGTCGCATCAGTGCCTCGCGCCCCGTGCGCAGCTGCCGTGCCATCGTGTCACCGCGTGTCGCCGTTGCCGCCTTGAGCCCCGCGCTGCCGTGCGCCATCACGTCGCTCTCGAGCCCTGTGCGCCATCATGTCGTCCTCGAGCCCCGTGCACCATCCGTCGCGTGACCATTAAGCCACCCTTCCCACACCCTATAAATACCCCCTCCCATCTCCCTTCCTCCCCACACACCTTGGCTGCCATCACAAGGCCTAGCCCCATCTCTACATCTTTCTCTTTCTCACACACATTTCGTCGAACATCTAGCGTGCGTGTGGGATCTTCTTCTCTACTCCACCCCCGCGACATCGAACTTCGTCGTTCCTCCATCCCTCGGTAACTCCTCACTCCTCTGGCCTCCCCTAGTCCCGTAGAAACTATGGGCCAATTTGGATTGCTACCCTACCAAAATTTGCCCTACCAAAATTTTGGTAGGGTAGCAAACCAAACACCTCTACTAAAACTCTACCAATGCCATAAATTTGGCTTTGCCTATAAACTTATCTCTTATGGGCAAATTTTGGCTTCAATCCAAATAAACATTTTCAACTCTACCCTACCAAAATTTTGGTAGTTCCAAAGCTTGCCCAAGATTTGGCACTACCAAAATTTTGGTAGGACATCAATCCAAACATGCCCTATAGCCCCCTTTAATTTCGCCAATTAACAACCGTCGCTGTGCCGGTCCGGCCACCGTTCTGCCGCCGGTAAGCTCGCCGTGGACAAGCCATCCCGGAGCTCCTCCTCTCCATCTAGTGTGTAAAATGGAACCCCCACACTCTGTAGATGCTCACGCACTTGTCGAATCGGTCGTAGACCATCCCGTTCGCCCTAGCCGGTTGCAACCAAGGGCTTGGCCATGACGGCCATGCCGCGTCGTTCGTCCCCGCGCCGCCGAGTGCCTTGGCCGCCTGCGGGGGTTCGCCGGAGCTCCTCCGCTCCTTCCCTGGCCGCCGCTAGGTCGCCCTCGCCCGGGCCTAGCCGCGCCGTGCTCTGCTCGGCCGATGGCTGGAGGTAGAAGACGACGGGAAAAGAAAGAACGAGAGAGAGCAGCCGGGCCCACCTGTCAATGGTTCACAGGATTTGCTTTAGAAAAATAATCCGGTAGGAAAGCAAATACAATCCTAAACCCCACATGGCAGTCACTTGGAGTTTTGGATAAAGTTTAGGAATAAAAATAATGAATTAGGAACAGTACCTTTTTACAATTTCTCGGATTTATTCAAATTTGAATCTTTAAACTAGCGTAACTTATTCGTTTTAGCTCCGATTCGAGTGAAACTTAAACCTAAATTCATATAAATTCATAAGCTTTCTAATGGTATATAATTCACTATTTAATAAAATATATTTATATTTATAAAATAATTAATATCAAGATAATGTATAATAGTTAACTTAAAAATGTGCTAATAAATAAAATTGATATTGTACTGTAAAGTAGATGTCAAATAATTGTCTTTAACATGCTTTATCACAGTAAAACCCATGTAAACTAATTAGAAGCATTGTTTCAAATTAATTAAAGCATAGGAAATGCTAGTGCCATTTATTAATATATGTCCATATATAATTATACCCATAACGTCCAAACTATATAAATAATGTTTAGCCTCATATTTTGTGACTAAAATATGAACACACGTTGATGAGTCTTTAACTTGTTTATGAGAAATAATAGCAGAGCTTGTATGATTAAACCACCAATATGAAATTAATTAACGACATTTCCAATACAGTAGTATATATATGTTTAGGTTGGAAATCGACCCTTAAGTTGTATAGACAGTAACTCACTCATAAATCCACTTAAAATCACATGTACTATATAGCTTAAAGTAAATAGCAGCTATTCAAATAAATGATTCAATATTAAGATATTGTGCACTCACATATACTGTACAGTCCATTATAGCTATACGTTGTAGTATTAAATCGCTTGATTGCATATATTAAAATTAAAGAGGATATATGACAAACATGTATGGTGGATAAATACTAATTATAGACCTTGACCATATATAACCCAAGTCCAATTGTAGATTAGGATTATTCATTGTAAAATTATGTGATGGGATAATCTGTAACCATAATATGATTAACCTAAACAACTCTAACATACAAAGCATGGATAATTATTAACCTTTTATAATTTATTGTGACAAGTAAAATATGTTCATAATTAAAGTAAAGCCTCCATCAATTAAATAATAATACAAATGATTCATTATTTGATTGATCCTAAATCCATCTAACAACAGAACCTCTGGTAGGTAACCGTGCTATTTAGATAGATGCATATATAGCTATAATCCTTCCATAGCCATTTGATAAACTAAACCACCGATTAGCTATAACATACCCGAATTCTAGGATTAAGGAATTTCCATCAAAACTAGTTGAAAAGAAAGTTCTTCAATTTTGTAAACCAAAAATTTCCATTTTAAACCTAGGTGAAGTTGATCCAACTCTTGCATGAATAAAATTTAAGAACAAATTAAAACTTTTTCATCTTTAACCTAGGACTTGGATGCAACCCAAGTCAAAGCATGCATACTCGCATAAAATCATATTTTGACTTGAGTCCTTCATATGCATTTGGATTTTCGATTTGCATTTTATAATAGGTCTCATGAATATAATTGCAATCTAGACAAACAACTAAACCATTAGGGTCCAGTGCTAACTAATGGAAAATAATACATAGGAACCATAATACACCTTAAAATATATCAACAAGGCCAATGTCAAGCCCCACAAAACTATTTGGTCATCCATCTGAAGACTAGTCATGAACATGGAAGTGAACAAATAAATTAACTCATATAGGGTATATTCCACCTTAGTTACCTTTATAAGCATTCTCTTAATTTAATATTAGAGTAAACTTATGCATAAATAGTTAAGGAGCTTATGACATGTGTAAGGTAAACTAAAATTCTAACATATCAACATCACCTCAGGTTAAGAAGAGTCTAAATATAAAAGTTTTAAAAACATTTACATACATTTAGGAAAGGAAAATAAGTCTTGCTAATTATCTAAAATAATCTGTGCAAGATAAAATCATTGGAAAATTCATGTAGGATCTAATTAACATATACAACACACAGCAATTTCGGTAAAATTTAATAACTAAATTTGATACCTCAAATAAATCAGTTAAACCAGTCAAATAATAGACTAATTATAACTCCTAATTGGCTAAAACCATACCTTGTCGAAAAGTGCATTTAACTGCATGGAAGTGTAAGGGGAAATAATTTATTCAAATACTAGGCTAATTATCTTAAATAAATATAATTTTTCCAGAATTTATCTTCTCTGTTTAAGTCTCCTAAAAATCCAAACTAGTTTCCAAAGAACCCATATTCCTCTAATTTCTGTGAGTAATCTATCCATAATTTTTGAGTGCAACCAAAGAAAATGGAATTTAGGTATCTTCATCTACCTTCAGAAAAATCCACACTAAATTATTCTACCCACAAATTAAATAATTGAATTACTAAAGTTGGAGAGAGAAATAATCCTGAAAATCATTCAAACCTTTTGTTCACCCACGTTTCTGCCCAACCCTCTCACCCTAGCCTAGTTTGCCACGACCTAGACCCACTTGGCAGCCACTCTGGCTCGTCCTCACCCTGTGCAAATCTTCCAGCCGACCAGAGACAGCCGAGAGGGAGAGATTGGCGCCGGCTGTGTACTACGCGTGGCCACAACGTGTCGACGCCATCAAACTCCTATTCTAGACTTCTCCTCCTCCCAGCTGCATCTCCACACATCATTCTCCACCTCTAAGCCGAAGAAACCGAGGGAGGAGGCTCTCAACTTCTCCGTCGCCCTCATCCTTGCCGCCGGCCGCGAAGAAGAACAACTATCGTACTAGTCAATAAGCCAGGGTAATCCCCATCTCTTTCACGTTCCATACTCTCCTCACCATGCCGAGGATTTATCCTTTTAATTTCATCCTCTATCGTGCAGCAGATCGACGGGAACGCCGTCGTGCCCACGGCACTCCGGAGCGCGCTCCAAGCGCTGCCGCAGCCGACATCGTCGTCGTTCCGACCACTGTAGACAGTAGACCAAACCAAGCCGAGCTGTCGCGCCAACGTCTTCTCCTTGAAGTCTTACTCTAAAACCCTCAAAAATCCTAGGCAATGGCGCAGCAAGTGCGGAGATCGGCTACCGTCTTCTTCACCTCCGGTCGCCGTCGCCATTGTCGATTCCGCCTCCTCCGGTGAGCCATTGTCCGATTCTTCGCGTATACACCATCCCTAGGACCTCACTAACCCCATGAAAACACATGCATGTCAATTCGATGAGTGGATCGAGCCGTTGCCGTCTTCCCGGAGCTCTGCACCGTCGCCGGACCATATTCTTCACCGCTGCCGCTGTCCAGACTTTCCCGCGCCTCGTTCAAGGTTCGGTGAGCATCCTTGAGCCCATAGGATTGCATTCATGCATTTCATTCACTTAGAATCGAGCACCAACTCAGCATGCAGTAGCAGCCTAAGCACAGCCGCCGCTCGGACTCGCCGCCGGCGTTACTCCGATGTCCACTGACCGAGAAAAGTAGAGGAATGGAATCGCAATAGCATGATCTTTATTTTTTCTTTTGGTCGCACCCTCAAACGAGCCACCGTTTGCCGCTGGCAAGCTTGAGATCGAGCTCAGCCATGGCTTGATCTGCTTCAGCTCGAACCAGGGACCTCCTCACAAGAATTTAGGTTAATATAGGATCCTTTCTGCAAAAGCTCAAGACACACAAAACAGTCATAGGACTGCGGTTTGATTTCCTGAAACCCTAGGGGCCTTTTTGCATATTGGCCTGAGACCGACAGGTGAACCCCATGAGTTTAAAATCTGAAAATGTAAAAGATAATACTAAAAACCTTTACTTTTTAACAGCAAAACACCTAAACTTGTAAAATCCATATAAAATCAAATATAACTTATTTTGAGATGATTCAAATTTCTATAGGTTCACAAAACTATGAACTTTAATGTGGTAACATTAAGCTTGGCACCCGCCGCACAGACCTTGTCTCTAAAATGGGTCTAAGATAAATCATACATAAAGCATACACAAACTTATAAAATGCATATAAAGTACATCTCAACTCATTTTGGAGCAAACTCAGTTTCTACAGATCCACCAACTTATGTTCTCCTATAAAGCAAAATGAAATAGTATACATACTATACATCAAATGCCTCTAAAACTATTACCTTTAAATGACTAGTTTTAGATAAGCTGAATTTTAGAAGTTCATATAAAATTCATCTTAGATCCTTTTTGAGTAAACCCAAGTTCTGTAGAATCATCAAAACATATACTTCCAAGTTATAAAATAAAATTATATACTTACTGTATGATAAAAGCCTCTAAATACTTATGTAAGTAATAACCATCATAGAGCAACCTTAAATTGTAAAATTTGTAGAAAATTCATCTTTAGTCTAAATGAAGTGAACCAAATATCTATAGAACCAGCAAACAGTGGGCTTCAACATAGTAAAATAAAATATGGAACCTTCTGTACAGGTTGTAGCTTTAAACTTTAAATTTATATGATAGGTGCTGATCACATAGTATCGATTGAGCAATATGTATATATATAAATGTATATAGAAATACATTCTAGCTATAATGAAACCCACATAAAACTTGTTAGACCAGTGAATGCATAGTTCCATCCCCATCCACCAAAACTTAAGGCACTTAGCTCATATAATAATTTTTAGGTTGATATAATAAATTGCTAGCATGGACTAGAGCTCCCCTAGTTTATAAAATATGAACCATGATAATAAAGACCATAAGCCTATGAACTTAGGTTAGATTAGTTAACTAAAATACTCATTTCATACATCACTAGCTAGATGAGGCAAGTTCTGGACCTAAACCTCTAAAGCCATGAACCTATAGAACACTATACACCTATAACACGTTATAACTTGTAAAAAAACATAAAGAATTCATATTAACTCTAAAAATTATGAAACCAAATGTGTTAGTCTTAGAAAACACATATATTCACCCCAGCAAACATAAACTTAATAAGAATCACGTTACAACAGCATTTCACAATAGTACCTAAGTAAATCCTACACTATACCGACGAAACTTCTAAAATTCATAATTCTCAAATGAAATGAGATAAAATAGAAATTCTTTCACCTAAATTCATTTTAGACCAGTACCTATTCCCTGTGCACAAATCATGTATTTTAGAGCATTTTGGATTTTTCGCATATTTTGGTGTTTAATTGCATAACGTGTACTTTGTATAGATGATTGCTTAAACGGTGAAGAAATGATTTAGGCGCTGACATTTTCTTGATTCAAGGCAAGTCCCACCTCCCTCTCTTTGATTACTTTGAACCTATGTTTTGGAGGTTATTGAAAATATTTGCAAATCTTGCATGTCGATTGTACACTAATAAATTAAAATTTTGTTAAACTTGTTAGACAAACTCCTACTACTTACATTATCACCTTAACTCCACATATATCCATATCCCTCATTCCTAACCTTAGGAACAATATGACTATACCACTTTATATATGAGTTTTGGTGACACTAGGTTACTATAATGCTTAGCCATGCTTAGAATAGTCTTCCTTGTCATTATGGGCTCATTACAAACATGAAAATTGATTTTTAAATAATCTGGGCAGAACTTTAATACTTGTGATTTTGATAAACAAAATGGTGGAAAACATGAATTTTAGGTTTGGGCCTCAAGTGGTGCACATATGGTGATTAGTTGTGTACTGATAGGGGGAGTGTGCGCCCAAACCGACTTAAGGACTTCACTCAATGTCAGTTCATTCCGTATACAGTACAACCACATGTGCTAGTATGGGATAGCCCAAGCTTAGTAAACTATTTATGGTTTAGCCTTACATTCTGGTAGGCCGGTGTGTATGAGTTCGTATAATTCAGAGGAGCTTCCTATTTACCCCGACGTGGTAGTTTAGGTGACTAAGCGTGTCCAATACAACGGTATTGTGCCACGTGGTGGGTTCCCGTTGTGTCCGCCACCACGGCGTTAAGTTTAAGGCGTGGACCCGCCACTTAACGGTTCTAGGTTATATATCGAGTATGGCTTAGGATGGAGTAACACGTATCGTGCTGGTGTAAGGCTAAATCATGAATTTTGGAAAAGCTTTGTTGCGGGTAATAAATCGGGTACTTATGTATCGCGTGCCATGCTCTTGCATGATTATTATTTCGCATCATGTGGGTAAAGTGTACAAACTTTGCAGAGTCAAAACTAATTGATTAGCCGTGCTCACGGTCAAGAGCGGCGTGTGGATATATATTGAGTATAGACTTGTGTTTATTCTCCTAAATGCTGAAATTTACTTTCAAATTGTGATGAGATTTGAGAATGATCTCCTTGCTGCCATGGATGGCAATGAGGTGAATATTTATACATGATTAATGCCTACTTTGATGCCCATATGCTAAGTACTAGCTTGCTGAAATTTATTTGAAAGTAAACCAGATTTAGAAATGTTTTATGCAAATAAAACTTGCTTTATGCTAAAAAGAACCATATTATGCCTTCCTTGATTATATGCCTTGCAAGTAGAGTGTTAGGCTTGTCTTGGTGCTTGCCAGTATATTATTTCTAATAATGTACTGACTCTTGCTATTGAATTAATCTTTTGCTTGCAGGTTTTAGACTTAGTCTTTGAGTGATGCGGGTAATCGACGGCTTCTTCTAGGACTTGAACTTAATGGGGTAAACCCCTAGTCGGTGTGCTTGTGGATTGGGTAGACAGGCTTCCGTTGTTCTATTATTTATTTGGCCGGTCGGCCAATGTAACTAAAGTAGATGTAGTTTATAATCGCTTTCATCTTATTTGTGTTTGCTATGTATAATCATGCTTGAGATGAAAGTGTGAATCTAGTGCACATCCTGGGAACTAGATTCACATGAGTATGAGTTAAGAATATTTGAGATGTTGAAGATCTTTAGCCATTTTTGTCAAGTCTCCTGAATATGTAACACATCTGGTCACCGCCTTCGAGTTGTTTGACGGGCACATCTCAGGCTGAAGTTGACTGGCAGGCTAAAGGCCCAGCAATGTCTCCAATATTCCTCCCTCGAGGCGTCGGATATTTCATTATGCTTGTTTGATGACTTGAATTATTCATTTCATCTCTCAAATATAATGGAAGGTTCGGAGAGCCTACGACATTAGCCAAATATATATGTATACCATAAATGCTATGTTGATTAACTCCTAAATAGACCACGATGACAATAGAAAGATTAAGAAACTTTAGCCCTTAGCATGATTGGAATCCATTAGCAAACACGAATAGTACATTTTGTTGTGCATATTTGATTGTTGTTTGAATATTGGTTTTTCTCGCGTATTATAGACCTTGTGTATCGGTTAGTCGTGAGGCAACGTCTGCAACTTCCAGGAGGTGAATGTTGATCAAGATTATATCAATAATAAGGATTATCCTGAGCAGGCAAGTCATCACTATTCCTTGAACATGTTGATCCCAATTGCGAAATTATTTTGTTTACAAATAAAATTGCATGTAATGATGAACATTCTACTTGTGATTATGCCATGCCTTGATTATTGTTACCCCTTATTCCTTCGTAACCATGTTTACATATGAAGTCCCTAGCCAATTATGACAAATGCTTAGAAATGCTATTATAGAATCATGCATACTCATATTTATCAAATGCTTTATGCTTGGGCAATTACCTTTGGGAAGGTAATTGAGATGCGGCATGTGGAGACATGAGCGCCACATTGCCATGATATTGATGACATGATTTGTGAAAGGAGAAATAAAACTAAACAACTGTTTTCGACTGGGGCGGACGGAGGATTTGGGTGGTATCTGGAAATGGCTAGTACCGTCCACGGTCAATTAAGGACCGAGCCATGAAGTTAAGCATGAAATGACCCCCGTACAACCGCACTTCTCGTATGGGTATAGACCTAGCGGATTAGATAGCCGAGCGGAGGCAGTATCCCTGCATAGATGGTTCACCCCTGAGTGAGGCAGGTGCGCTACGGTGAGGCAGCCGTTGAGGTAGGGCCGCGAGGCGTGCTCCTACATCGGTGTCGCCATTGGTAGGACTGCCATGAGTGTGTGAGGGAGAAACTAACTTAATGAGTGTGTGAGACTTCTCTTTCCCGGGAGCGCCAGAACTCCTCTCACTGCTAGAAACATGGATGCCTAGAGTACATGAGTATTTAAGTTCATGGAGCAGGTACTGCCAATGCGAGGTTATCGAAAAGCTTTGCCGTGTCGCGTCTCATGTGTTGGGACGAGGCTCATGTGTTGGGCAGTCGCGGAGTGCGGGTAAAGTGTACATCCACTGCAGTGTGAGTAAACCAAATCTATTCGAAAAGCCGTGCTCGCGGTTATTGAGCACCGGGACGTGTATTACACTTGGCTAGACTCTAAATTCTTAACTTGTGTGGGATGGGATATTGCATGATGAATTTTATGCTGATGGAGCCACTCCCTGAGAGGAGGGAAGGTGGACGTCCTCAGAAAACCATGACGACTCAATGGCGGGAAGATATCCTTGGGATCACAATGGATGGTGGACAGAACCGTCGTTGTTTAATGTGAACATTGGTATTAAAACTTGATCAGTCTATGCTAGGTCTTAGGCTTGTGAAAAGAATTGCAAAGCTTGCTTTATGCAAAAGAACCTGGAGCCCTTCCTTGAAATACCCTCTATCATATGCATTGTTGTTGTGGTGGCTTGCTGAGTACGGTTGGTACTCACCCTTGCTATTTATATATCTTTTAGGAGAGTGTTGAAGAGAAGCCCTTGTCGGTACGCTTGCGTATCCAACAAGATGATCGGAGTGTGGTCTTGTTCTAGGTCTCGTTCCCCAGTTGACTGCCTGTGGCATGTTAACCGGGCCCTTATATTATTTTGTCTTCCGCTGTTGTTCTCTGATAGTTGTTGGCCTACCTGGCCCTAATGTAAGTATTTAACTCTTTTAGCCTGAATTCATTCGTGATATGTTGTGATCCAACTATGTATGTGTGTACCAATTACTGATCTAGGGATTGGTACGGATAAACACAGAAGATTTCCGATTTCCAAAATCGAGGGTCTACAACTTCCTGGAGAAGGGAGTATCTGTGCCCAGATCCCGTTATTGGAAGACGCAGCTGAAATCCAACACACTGGCTAAGAAGTCAGAGCAGCCGGCTCAGAAGAAGCTGCCGCCCACATTGAAGACAAAGAAGCTGTGGTGATTGAAACAGACTAAGCACGCTCCATCACCTCCGGAGATGGATGGAAAATCCAAGAACTAAACGCTGGAGGTATGGTCTTGCTCGTCGGACCCAAAACGACGCCGCCCTCGCTAACAGGTAAATTGGTATGTATCTTCATATTTACTTCCATCAATTTAATTTTTGCATCAAACCATGTTTGAATTTTCAAAATTTGCATTTAGGTTTCAATTTTGAGGTAATTCTTTCAAATGAATTTTTCTGAGCAAAATAAAATAAATTTTTTAATAAAAATTTGTTGTGCCACGACCACACTGACTGTTGGAATCCAACGGTCGAAAGTGGGACCGGTTGGGCCCACCAGGGGTTCAGCCGAACCCCTACCGGCCAGGTAATGGTCGGCTGCCACTTTTGGCAGGGCAACGGCTAATGGGGCCCACACGTCAATTTTGACCGTTGTGATGCCCTATATAAGCCATCCGGCCGGGAGAGGGAAGTCCATCCCATTTTAATGCATTTTCACTCCCTCTCAAACTTTGCTCTCAAAATTCATTCAAGTTTTGCAAATTTGCCTCATGTTCAAGGAATTTAGTTGCATTTGCAAATTGTCTTGGTGAAACTAACCATCGGGTATAAACTGTGCTATCCTAACCCCACCGAGTTAGTCCATTTCTTGCTCATTTGTGCAGGATGAGAAGACGGTTGTCCCGCTTGTTCAAGAAGGGATCCGGCTCTTCATCGAGTGCGTCTCCTGACGTCTCGATGGAAGACGCCGACGTTCCGTCATGCCTCTTGAACGACTCTGTCCTCGACCTTGTCGGTGAACGGGAGCTGCAAGTCTACTACATGCTGAAGGACCGGCAGTTCGCCCACACCTGAGCATACGACCCGGAACTTTTGAAAAAGATAGGTATGGATGCTGACTTTCGCATTATCTAGAAGGCTGTAGGTTGGCAGAAATTCGTAGTAGTAGATGTGCCTGGTTCTCGTTTGCTTACTTTGCAATTTATGTGCACTTTGAAAGAAATAGAAAATGGAATTTCCTTTCACTTTTTCCGAAAAGAGTATACCCTTAGATGGAAAGGATTAAGTACACTTCTT